AACCCTCGGTGGGAGCGCCGCCGCACTTCCCAAGCGGCACACTACAGCAGTGCGCCACCGGGCTGGCCCTAATGTAATAAACTTTTACATACATTAATTTACATTGAATTAGTATAAAATAGCTTAGGCAATTTAACTAAAACAGTATTTCACAAACATTTTCAACAATCATATTGTGTGATGGGACCTACGTGTGCAGCAGGAAAAGGAATGTCATAAGCTGTTACCAAGAATAAAACTGGAGTCTTCCCCAACCAAGAAGTCAGGAGTTTCAGGAGTAAATGTGCAGTGTTGTACTAAAGAGTCAGACCTCACGATGTCTGACTACTAACACCTTTTACAGCTCTGCAGTCCTCCTTCCCATTTTGCCCATCTGTTCGAGCTGATAATAGTACCTGTGTGCTCCCTTCTTTGGCACCAACTGGAAGTTCAAACCCCACACATAGAAACTCCCATGACAACCCTGCCCTTTAACAACCATACAATGAAGCCAGCCACTTTTCTTACACACTCGAGCCACATTTGGACCAGCTTGAGAAGTCTACCCTGCTTTCCCCAGGAAGATTGATTATGTAGTAAACATTCTCATTATACTTCAGTATATCCACACCAAACATTAAGTGGAGTTTAATTCACTTTCAGTGGAGTGGTCACAAATTCGAATTACCAGATAATGTTACAAAGGTGAATATATGAAGTTTCTAGTTTATCTACCAGAATAAAACAAAATTCTCATTCTGCATGTTCCTGAAAAGGAAATTCATGAACATTAACCTTTTCAAATTGTCACTGAAAACTCCAAGGACAAAAAAAGAGATGGTGTTATTTTTATTCTTATTCCCTACACTTTTACTTTGTAATATTTTTTATAGTCTTCCTATATTTGTATTTTCTCAGCGTGTAAATCATGATGCATGTCACAGGTCTTATTTGGCACACACAAGAGGCATGTAGAAATAGTGTATATTCATCAACAGTAATGCATGTTTTAGAGTGTAAGAGTCTGAAATTGCACTTCTAAAAAATTTTTGTTATACCCACATAAGTACCCTAAGGCAGAGTGCAGAGAGAAGTGCAAAGTATGAATATAGGCTCCCAAGTTACTGTTTGATTCCACTGAGAAGAAAAAATTGTTCCAGGTCCTTCAACCGTAAGAACCTAACGGTACATTCTTATTGTCTGTTATGAAGTATATCACTGAGATGGGATAAAACTATGTTGGTACAAAGAATGTGCTCACTCACAGTTAAGAAAAAAACATTAAATTTTATTAATTAAAACATGAGATTTATGATAATTATGAATGAAACTGTAGCAAAATGTAATGTCAGCAGTTAAGTGTGAATCCTACTCAAGAACATGCTATTCTGGTGTTTTTCATTAAACTCTCCACCCTGATAACTCTTTTCTCTTCAATTTCAAAAATAAAAATAATTTTTCATCAACCTTTGTTATATGGCAGCTATTGCCATTTGATAGAGAAAATGGCCACCATTTCCTCTGAATTACTCCTACCACATAAACATTCCCTAATAATATATCCCTCTCTTCTCATAAAAATCCCAGTCTCCTAAGGTCTTGGCCTACTGTACTTCATGTTGAGTCGGTACATTTCTTTTCTATAACTCACAGAGCCCTTCTGTCAGGAGAAAGGCAGCCTGAACACAAATACGCACAACTGACGGTTTTACATTATTTTCTGCCCCTCTTAAATGCTCTCTAATTCAAACAATATTTATTTTTTAGAAGGCAGAGTACTTCTTCCAGGAACTTGTATAGAAATGATCCTCACCCTATAAAGTAAGTGAACATTATTTTTTTTTTTTCCTTAATTTTTTCTCGGAGAACACAATGAAAGGCCTGTGAAGAAGGTTTAAGATTAACTATGGGTTGAAAGTCACATGAGTAAATAATACAGTAGCCTTTTGAAGAAACTTCAAATAAGTGAACAAAATATTTTATAATTTGAAAAGAATTTTAAGTTTCCAAACATCTTTGCACTTTTGATATACAAGTATATTGTGTTATAAGTTAATATATTTTAACTTCTAATTAGCCAGCAGTACATAATAACAAAGGTTAAGCTTGGAGAATGAAAGAATGAATTATTCTTCCTATAAATTCTCCTACAGATATGGAACTTGAGTAATAGCCTCAGGATGCACATCACATTTGTGTGGTTTCGTCAAAAATGTATAATTTGATGTCTAGTGAGTTGTGAGGCCTGAATTAAGCCTCTGCCATACATTACACTTAGATGATGTCTCTTCAGTATAAACTCTCTGATGTCTGTTAACGCTTTAACTCATGAGGACTCTGCTAGTCAATGCATTTGCAGATTCTCTCAAGAATTAATTCTCTGATGTTGTGCAAGGAATAAACTGTGACTGAAGACTTTGTCACACTCATTTGTAAGGTTCTTCTCCAGTATGAATTCTGTGATGACCTGAAAGGTTTGAAATTTGACTGAAGGCCTTGCCACACACTTTACATTTGTAAGGTTTCTTTCCAGTATGGATTACCTGATGGGTAGTTAGGCTTGAATGCACTCTAAAGGCTTTGCCACACTCATTACACTTGTAAGGCTTCTCTTCAGTATGAATTCTACGATGATTTGCAAGGTGTGAATTTTGAGTAAAGACTTTGCCACATTCATTGCATTTGTAAGGTTTTTCTCCTGTATGGATTGCCTGATGGGTAGTTAGGCTTGAATGCACACTAAAGGCTTTGCCACACTCATTACACTTGTAAGGCTTCTCTCCAGTATGAATTCTACGATGATTTGCAAGGTGTGAATTTTGAGTGAAGACTTTGCCACATTCACTACACTTGTAAGGTTTCTCTCCAGTATGAATTGCTTGATGGGTAGTTAGATTTGAACTAATAGTAAAGGCTTTGCCACACTCATTACACTTGTAAGGTTTCTCTCCAGTATGAATTCTACGATGACTAGCAAGGCTTGAAAGCTGACTGAAGAACTTACCACATTCATTACATTTGTAAGGTTTTTCTCCAGTATGGATTACCTGATGAGCAGTTAGGTTTGAACGAATTCTAAAGGCCTTGCCGCACTCATTACACTTATAAGGTTTTGCTCCAGTATGAATTCTCCAATGCCTCGTAAGGTGTGAATTTTGAGTGAAGACCTTGCCACATTCAATACACTTATAAGGTTTCTCACCAGTATGAGTTGCCTGATGACTTGCAAGGTATGAATTCTGAGTGAAGACTTTACCACACTCATTACATTTGTAAGGTTTTTCTCCAGTATGTATAGCCTGATGGGTAGTTAGGTTTGAACGAGCACTGAAGGCTTTCTCACACTCATTACACTTGTAAGGTTTCTCTCCAGTATGAATTCTACGATGAGTTGCAAGATGTGACTTTTGAGTGAAGACCTTGCCACATTCCCCACATTTGTAAGGTTTTTCCCCAGTATGGATTGCCCGATGGGTAGTTAAGTTTGAACTAATAGTAAAGGCTTTGCCACACTCATTACACTTATAAGGTTTCTTTCCAGTATGAATGCGCCGATGACTTGCAAGGCTTGAAGGGTGACTAAAGACCTTGCCACACTCATTACATTTGTAAGGTTTTTCTCCAGTGTGAATCGCCTGATGCATCGTTAGGTTTGAACGCACAGTAAAGGCTTTCCCACACTCAGTACACTTGTAAGGTTTCTCTCCAGTATGAACTCTCCGATGAGTTACAAGATGTGAATTTTGAGTGAAGACCTTGCCACATTCATTACATTTGTACGGTTTCTCTCCAGTATGGATTAACTGATGGGTAGTTAGGTTTGAATATGTACGAAAGGCTTTCCCACACTCATAACACTTGTAAGGTCTTTCTCCAGAATGAATTCTCTGATGAGCTGCAAGACTTGAAGGCTGAGTGAAGACCTTGCCACATTCATTACATTTATAAATTTTCCTTCCAGTATGGATTACCTGATGGGTAGTTAGATTTGAATGCAAACTAAAGGATTTCCCACACTCATGATACTTGTAAGGTTTCTCTCCAGAATGAATTCTCTGATGACTTAAAAGGCATGAAGGTTGAGTGAAGACCTTGCCACATTCATTACACTTGTAAGATTTTTCCCAACTATTTGAAGAATGTATAAAATTATCCCCATATTTTTTAGAAATGTGAGTTCTGACACTAGAACAAATTTGTTGAAGTGGTGAAATGAGAACATCATTTTTCATAGATTTCTCAACTTGATTACATTCATAAATTTTCCTTTCACATTGAAATAGCTCTTCAGGCAGAGGTGACTGAAAGCTAACTCCAAGCTGAGTTATATTAATCCTGTTTCCTGCATGCTTTCTATCATGTTTTCTTCTACCAGTGAGACTTTCTTTCTGGGTCATAGAAACTTCCTTGTAATTTCTTTCATAATCTCTCCACTGACACTCAAAGTTATGTATATTTTTCTGGTCTTCCCTGAAAGAAAAGTCTTTGATGTCATGGCTTTCATGTCTTTCCAACATCACTGTGTGTAACACTTTGGTATTGCTGTTCCCTTTTGGTGGTAATTCCTTGATTATACAATTAGGAGAGATATCTACAAGATATAAAGAACCATCATTTTCCAATTAATTACAGTACATAAATAAATATTTCACATTGAAAAACATAATATTACACCAAAAGTTACACTTATATTGAACAGACTTAATGAAACTTCAGAGCCATAAAATTCAATTTTTAGGAACACAACAGAAATAGGATTCTTTAAAAAAGAAAAGGTGAGTACATGCAATTCAAGTTAATAGTAGGGAAGCCTAGTTTCAAACAACCTATGGTCGAAGCACATTTGTCAAAGCTATGTTAGTCCTGAAAGTAGGAGGATTTTTCCACTGTGACCTCAAGGCACACACCAATTGGCAAAAAACATGGCTTTCTTATAAGTGAGGAGAAAAAACATTTATAGCTGATTTATTATGTACAAATAAATGCTAAAGAACAATATGATATAGTGTAATGGAAAATAACCTACAGAAAATTATGTGATGAATTATTAAAGAAGCACCAATTTTAAATTAGAAAGCAACAGCACCAGGAAAATAAGAACAATTTAATAAACAGTGTCATAAAAGATAATATTTTTCTAAATACCTGTTATAAAACAATCTATACCAGCACAGACCAAGTATTTTGCAACATTAAAAAGTGGCTCATGACAGTTACATTGCATAATGCATACTGGAAAACCATTATCTGTAAAATATGATGAAAATTAATTAATAAAACATTCTAGTAACCCATGATAAAATGTGCAGGCAAAGAATTAGTAATCACATTTACAAAAAGTTATGGCCTGTGGAATTGTAAATAATTTCCTCTTAAAAAAAAAGGAAAGGATTTCTACTTCAGAACCAGCACACAATACAAGAACTGGAATATGATTTTGTGAAAAATTGTATTATGTACTGACAAAGTATAATTGTATATATTTATGGGAAACAAAGTGATGTCACAATATATGTACACAGTGTAGAATAATGAAATAAAGTTTATTACCATATACATCACCTAAAAAACGTATCATTTACACCAACTATTTAATTGAAACTTTGTACTGACCAACATCTCCCTATTCCACCTACTTCCCAGCCTCTGATAACCATTATTCTACTTTCTGCTTCTAGAAATTCAATTGGTTTAAATTCCACATATAAGTGAGAACATGTAATAATTGTATTTCTGTGTTTGGCTTATTTCACTTAGAGAAATTCATCCGTGTTAAATGTTGCTTCATCCAGGTTCCGCATACTCAACTTCCTTCTTTTGAAGGAAGACTAGAATTCTATTCTGTGTATACACCACATTTTCTTTATTCATTCATCTGTGATGGAAAACAGGGTGACTACATAACTAATTAGGCTAGTGTGAATAATGTTGCAATGAACATGGAGTACAGATATCTCTTAGACAAAATGATTTCAAATCCTTTGGAGATACACCTAGAAGTGTAATTGCTGGATCATATGATAATTCTATTTTTAGTTTTTTGAAGAACCTCCATGCAGTTTTCCATAATGGCTGTACTAATTTACATTTCCACAAATGGTGTACAAGGCTTCCCTTTTCTTCACATCCTGCCCAACTCTTATCCTTTACCTTTTCGATAATAGCCATTCTTGCAGGTGTGCGATATCTCATTCCATCTATCTGTTGGCCACTTGTAAGTCATCTTTCAAAGAATGTCTATTGAGGTCCTTTGCCCATTTTTTAATCAGGTTATTTGTTTTGTTTTCATATTATTGAGTTGCTTCAGCTTCTTCTACATTTTGGATATTAACACCCAATCAGATGTTCTTAAGCAGGGCTGCTCACTCAGGAAGTATAGGCAATAATAGGTCACAGCATATACAACAAGCATAAAAAGAAATACTTCAAGGGACATACAAGCACTAAGGTGTGTGGCCAACAGTGTTACGCAGCCATTTCTCATGGATAATGATATCTGTGTCATCATCCCCTCCACATACTGATTTAAGCAGTGCCCTAAAAAGTTGTCCAGTGCATGAATAGGGGTCTTGCATTACAGTGAAAGTAGTGTCCTGTGGAAATTGGGGTGTTTAGGCATACAAAATTAATATGCTAGGAAGTAACATTATAGTCCATCCACATCAAAGTACTATGTGAGGAAAGGCCAAGATGGAAGATCAGTAAAAGCACGGCAGGGAGTAATGGAAATGTGGGAGCAAATTTTGTGCGCGCAAATCTGTGGGAATGTAACTGCAATAAGGCAGTTAAAATTCTGACACTGGAAGAAAAGAATAAGTCATTTAACAAGGAGCATAATACTGATGCAACCTTAACTACAGACATTAAATTACGGGCATGGGCAAAATGGAAGAGATTTAAAAGGGAGGTACCGTGATGAAGTGAAAACAGGTTTACATCACACAGTATTTGCACAGGCAATAAAAGTAAAAATAAATAAAATGGACTACATCAAAATTTAAAAATATTGTGCAGCAAAGGAAACAATCAACAGAGTAAAAAGAAAACCTATGGAGAGGAAGAAAATATTTGCAAAACATGTATCTGATAAAAGGTGAATTTCTAGAATATACAAAAAACTCCTACAAGTCAACAACATAAATAACCTGTTTAAAAAATGGGCAAAGGGACTGAATACATATTTTTGCAGAGATGATATACAAATGACTAATAAGCACACAAAAAGATGCAAAATATCATTAATCAAAAGAAAATACAAATAAAAATACAGTCAGATGTCACGTCACACCCATTAGGATGTGTACTCCCTAAAGGAACAAAAAATAAGCGTGGTGGTGAAGATGTAGAGAAATGGGAGGCTTTCGCCTTGTTGGTGGGAATATAAAAAGGTATGGCCACTACGAAAGATAACATGATATTTCCTCAGTTCAAAATTAAATTACCATATGAACCAACAATTTCACTTCTGAGTATATTATATCTAAAAGTACTGAAGACAAAATCTGGAAGATATATTTGTAAACTCATGTTCATTGCAGCATTATTCAAAATAGCCAAGAGGGGGAAGCAAATCAGGAATCCATCACAGATGAACAGATAAACAAAATGTGGTACACACACATACTGGAACATTATTCAGCCTTAAAACAGGTAAAAATCCTGTCATATGCCACAACATGGATGAATCTGGAGGACACTACGCTAAATGAATAAATCAGTTATAAAGAGACAAATACTGTATGATTCCATTTAAAAGAAGTATTTAAAATAGTGAAATTCACATAAACAAAAATTAGAGTGGTACTTGCCAGGGGCTAGGAAGAGAGGAAAATAGGGGGAGAAAGTGAGATTAAATGATCATGGTAATCAATTAAACCTAAATTCAAACCAAAAGAAAAATATGGTATATTTTAACTCTGCTAAGTTCATACAATATAAAATATTATAGAAGTTACTTGACAAAATAAAAAGAGGAATGTAAGGTCAGGGATAATACTACTGTATATATAAGACATATAGTTGTTAGTAGGAATGAATGAAAATTAATGTGCACTCATCCAATATTAATATTTGACTACATAAATATCACCAGGAGAACACAAGTAACCGTACAGAGAGAATATATGTAAATGACCACAGTGGGGATGGCTTGTACTGAAGGGCACTATTAGTGGCAGCAAAGTGCAGACACATTTCCTGGCAGTGGTGTGGAGACCCATGGAGGAGCTCGTCAGCAATGTAAGCAGCAAATAGAGCCAGAGAACAACAGGCCAGCACCAGGAGGTGGGTTCACAGGGAGCAGGTGAACGTTACAGAAATTCAGATGGAAAGAAAGACAGGAAACACAATAGACTGCATGTGTTAACTCATGAAGAGAATTTCCAGAATTTCAGACATTACACTACAAATATAGGTATTATAAACAACAATGGAGAAGAAGTACATGAAATGCAAGAAGTGGGCTAAGTTTCCTGTAACACACAATGAAATATTTAAAAATAAATTTAGTACACCAAGATGGACATAAACAATGTAGACAAGGAAAATCATCAGAACACAGCATTTTTTCCAAGACACAAAAACTCAGTGAAATTTAAACAAAACTGAGTAAGTTACGTTTACAAAGCTAAAAACATACTATAGAAAAAGAAATGGCCAAATAACAAATTAAGGAAAGTCAATTCAATGGTATTTCTAGAATTAAGACAGTATCTTAATAAAGCAAAATAGTGTATTCTCAAGGCATCAAAAATTCTCGATTTGAAAACTGTAATGAATTTAATTGATAAAAGTGTACTTTAATGATAGGTATTAACTCAGTTGAAACATAAGTAAAAATAATAATAGACTCTCCAAAAAGTTCTAGAATTTGTGTAGGTTTTAGAAAAAGTCCTGCTGAGCCATCCCCTCTATACTAAAGAAGGAAATATTCTAAAATATACAAATCAATAGCCATTCCCTGATAGAACAGTCCCACACACTACAGATATAAAACAAAGAATACTAAGAGCATCCTCAAAAAATGTGGAACTGTTAATTAAACTTAAAAAGCAAATTCATTTATAATTCATAAATATGTACAAGATAAAAGTAGCAGTGGCCTAAACAAATGACAGTAGAATTAAAATACAGAGATATCATTCAACTTCGTAAGCTCTCTCAAGATGTGTCAAAACCATTACTTGTTATACACTGAATGTACAACAAATTGAACAAAGGCTTGAACAGAGGTTTGTTGTTAAACAAAGGTTTAAATAATAAATAATGGCACACAAAAGGGATAAGAAATGTGGCATGAACAATAGTTCAGCCAAGCACCTCAAACATGTGACATTGTGAACTTCAACAATGTTCTCCCTAGGAGAAATTCCTACACCACTGATTGCTGGCTCAAAGAAGATGATCATTAGCGTATGTGATCAACACTGTCACAGCACCTTGAGAGAGACTTTTGTGACACTTCTCAAAAACTAGAACTATATCTAAAAACGTTTTTCAGTCAAGCTCTCCTGATACTTTCTATCTCAGTATCCTAGGACATGTTGACAACTCTACTCAGTGGCTTCGAGGGGCATCTCTATGTGTGTATCTAAAAACGTTTTTCAGTCAAGCTCTCCTGATACTTTCTACCTCAGTATCCTAGGACATGTTGACAACTCTACTCAGTGGCTTCGAGGGGCATCTCTATGTGTAGCAGGATGATATTCAAACACGTTAGTCAAAGTGTTCTCCTTCATGAATTTTCTGTTACCCAGTAAACCCATTCCATAAGGGAGTGCACAAGAAGTTATCCATATCCTGAAGGTGGCTTATCACAGTAGACAAATAAGATGACATGTCAGTCCCTAGGAATGTGAATATCAAAACCAAATTTCTGAGGCCAAATCACACAAACATTAGAGAATATGAAATCAGAAAAAGCCAAGGTTTTTTACATTCACAAAGTAGTAAGAGCAGGGAGAGAGAAAAATACAACATATGGGGGTCAAATATTTTAGGATTTTGAGGTGGGACTCTGTGCTCTGCTCATAGATCCTACAGTAAGGGCCTGATCCACAAACGACAGGGGATCAAAGAGGTGACCTTTCTGTCCATTGTTTTTATGGTTCTGATGAGTAACAATCTCAAAAGATCCAATCTACTCTCCTGCCAAACACGCCCATGAAGTATGACAAAAACAGAACAGAAGAAATAACTGAGAGACCTCAGCAGGCAAAGACAGCTTGAGACAGCTCCATAAGGTTTCCTGGGCCCCAGATGCAAAGAAAAAGTAGCCAGTGTTTCTCATCTCCTAACTAGGTTTTCCAATCATATGAAACACAAGGGAATATGGGCAAGTCCAGTTGTCACAACTATAGACACTTGAGCTCTGATCTATATGGACTGAGAACTGAGCATGAGATGGAATCTAGCACAGAAAGGAGACACCATGGGGAAAAGAGATCTTTCTGAAACACCCCTCCCACTGCCACTGAGAGTCAAGGAACCAAAGAGTTCACAGAAGCTAGACAACTTGAGATACTTGAAAATTAATTTAGTATACAAAGATAAAGATTGTAGACAAGGAGAATCACTGACCATAAAAAAGACTTTAATCATGAAAAAGACTTTGCATTTGTCTCTGAGCTGCAGCACCACTGCAAGGCAAGTGAATAAACTTTTACACCTCTGTGGAACACAGTGAAAAATGGGGGAAAAGAAAAATTTTCTTTCAGAGTTCACAGGAAACAAACTGTTGTTTTCCAAGAGAAATCTCCCACTTGCAGAGTTTCCCAACACAGTTTAATGATGCGGCTTCCTCTCTGCCCATCTGAGCTCTCACCTGTATTCACACCTTTGATCCATTCTCGTCCATTTGGTTTTCTTGCTGTTGTCACTTGGCTCTCCACAGTCCAGGGTTCTTTCCCTTGCTCCAACATGGAGATAATACTCAGATCAAAACTACAGATTCCTGCTTATAAAAAGAAATAAATGTAAAATGTTGTGGCTTTTCCAGAATCCCAGCCCTGAATTTACCTGAGGACAAAGGACATTATAGATGGATCTCAAAACATATCTCAGAAATTCATCCACTGAATATTTCCTTCTAAATGCTTAGGGAACACCATAATATGCAGATATCTAAGCTTCTTGCAAGAACCACTGAATCAAAGCACAGAAATAGAAAACAGAAAATTAGATATTTTAAAAGTCTGTCATAAGGTTTTATGCATATGTAAGCTCCAGAACCACTCAATGATGTATCATAAAGGGAGCAGAGCATCTGAAAAAAGTGAAAATTAAAGGCCACATGCCACATTATGAAGCTTTTCATTTCTGAGTCAACAGGGCTTCAATCTCAGTCAAGCAATGCAGGGGCTCCCAAAACACTCAAAAAGGAAAATGTAAAGACACACAAAGGCAGATTCGGTCTTGCAAAGGGAAGTTATCCTCACCCAGGAAGACCAGATTCCTGTAGTTCTCCAACATCACGTCCCTGTACAAAGCCCTCTGAGCAAGATCCAGGCATTTCCACTCCTCCCAAGAAAATCCTATGGCCACATCCCTGAATGTCAACTGCCCCTAAAATAAAAAACACATTTCACCAAGGTGCTATGGAAAGAGTTCTAATCTTCACATAAAATAAGAAGAAAAGAGAACAGTAAGGATAGATGTGACTGAAGAGAGTCTGCTGGCATATCCATGTTGTGATATTGTGAAATTTGTTTTTTGGTCTTCATCTCCCTTTCCTACAATATAACTCACTTGGAATCTCTGGAGTGATAAGTATCTTTTTTTATTGTAATGAGATAACTGGTGGCTGAAGACCACCAGATACCCTTAGGATGGGAGCCTGGTCACTGGAAAAACCAAGGCAGAATTAGAGAGTTGGGACTTTCAGACCCACCCCTAACTTAAGCGTGAGAAGGGGCTAAAGGTTCAGTTAATCACCAGTAATGTAATCAGTCATGACCACGTAATAAAGCTTCGTAAAAAACTAAAAGGACAGGGTTCAGAGGACCTTCCAAATAAGTGAACAAGTAGCTGGAGGTCCCTAGAGGGTGGTGCACCCAGAGAGGACACAGAAGCTCTGTGCCTTTCCCCATACCTTGCCCAATGCATGGCTTCCATCTGGTTGTTCATCTATATCCTTTGTAATATCCTTTATAATGAAGGGGGAAAACATAAAGTGTTTCCCTGAGTTGAGTGAGTTGTTCTAGCAAATTAATCAAATACGAGGAAGGGGTCGTGGGAATCCACAATTTATAGCAGGTCAGTGAGAAGCACAGGCCACAACCTGTGCTTGCAACTGGCATCCAACGTGAGGGCACTCTTGTGGGACTGGGCCCTCAACCTATGAGATCTGATGCTATCTCCAGGTAGATAGTGACAGATTTAAATTAAATTTGAGGACACTCAGCTGGTGTCCCCTGCAGAACTGTTTGCTTGGTGTGTGGAGAAAAACTCCACACATCTGGGATCACAGAGCCTTCTGTGTTGTGAGAGTATAGTAGGAGAAACTGGGTCTGTTTTTCCTACATCCACACACGTTAAGGCATTTTTGAGCAAGTTACATCTCTTTAATTCTGTTTTACTATATTTTTCTACAAAAGTCTACGATATCCTCTCAGTCAATGTGGATGTCTCAGTTTTGTGGACAATACAAAAAATATATAAATAGAAAGTCAACACAGGGTTATCTTTATAAAAATATTAAATATTATGTCCAACACACCAAGTGATGTCCAGTGTCCAGATGAGCTACAGCAGGAGTGGATGTCTTCAGAGATGACAAAGTCCACGGTGGCTTTATAGAAAGAAAGGTCAGAATCTAAAAACTGTGATGATGTTAGCCACAGCAATAACTGAGGCTTCTGAACACTTCCCATGTGCTAAACACTATTCTAAATGCTTGACATGTACTTACTCATAACACCATAACAGCCCATGACGGAAAGATCTGTTCCCATTTTACTGGGGAGACAACAACTGTGTCTCAGAGGCCCTAAAAATTCTCACCTCAGGCCAGAGAGCTAAAAATGTCAAAGCAAGCACCTGAACTCATTTGTATTGGAATTAAAATTGAACCTAAAGAATCAAACAGTTAAGTAATAGACACGCATCAAAAGTAAATTGATAGTACGTTACCAAACTGAGGAAAGTTGAAACGAGTTCAAGGATAACAAAAAGGAACTGCATAAAAGGTCACTATATACGCATACACACCTGGGTTCCCATAATACATTATTATTCTTACTATTAATTCATTAACGTGACAGTGTTGTTACCAAACTGAGAAAAGTTGAAACAAGTTCAAGAATAACAAAATGGAACTGCATAAAAGGTCACTATATACGCACACACACCTGGGTTCCCATAATACATTATTATTCTTACTATTAATTCATTAACGTGACAGTGTAGAGCAAATTTAAGGCCATGCAAATATTAAATACATAATTCCAATTGTTAAAAAAAACTTTTAAACTATAAAAATATTTATAGTTTAAACTATTTTAAACTATAAAACATTAGATCCAAATGAAACGTACCATTTTGTACCAATGCCCTAAGCAAGGCCTTCCAAACCAAGACAAAACAAACATGCACACTACAAAAGACAAGGGATATGTAAAAAAGATTTATTTTTCACACTAAAAAAATGTATAACCTAAAAAATGACAATAGGTCATATATAAATAATTAAACAGCAGAATATAAAATAGCTCCTAAAATTCATGGAAAGAAAAGTGTGCAAAGTATGAAAACCCATTTTATACGTACATGTTCATACAAAGTAATGAAACCTACTCAAACTCACAAATTGGAAAACGGAAATACAAAGGGTTATCATTTTCCCCAGATTCTCAATATATAAAAAGAACATAGCAGCAAGTTTTGTTTAAATGAAATCTCACATGTTGTTGGTGGGACAGGGTTCCTTTGAAGCTGGGGGCAGGAATGGAAAATTGACAAATCTACCAAATTAGGAAATGCACCATCCTAGAAGAAGCAATCACTTTTTCAATTCGTCAACCTGGAGGAACCCTCAGACATCTGTAGTGAGGGGGGTAAGCTCAGAGGCAGCCACTGTAATATTCTTTAAGTCACAGAAAAAGTGTCAAAGGCCCATGGGTCTTCATTTACAGACTGCTCCAAGGAGGATGTCAAAGAGCAGACTATTCATCTTTCCTAACATGCGAACATGTAAATTTTCACTATTGCAGGATAAATGTATCACAATAAAACATTCACTGAAGAATTTTTTTGTAAATATCATAACTATGAATAAATACATTTGTACAGGACTTGTGCTCCTCTTGCCACAAAACTGACAAAACAGTGGCTCGTCACTGACACATGAGGAAGGGTGGAGGACGTGACAGGAAAGGGGATGGTTTACACCTTAGAGCCTCAACTCCATGTTTGTTTGGACTTTTACTATAAAACAAATTTATACATAATGTGATGTTTAAAATTTTTTAAAAGATACAATGTATAATAATAATTAACAGAATGAGAATATGGCTCCATCTTCTGTAATGTCAAAGGTGTTCTGCCCCTATCTCTGAGCTCAATTATAACCATTTTCACCTAACACCTGGTGCATAACAATCCCTGCAGTCTCCATGGGATGGATGTGCTGAGAGTGGTTTAATGAATCTCCTCCTGTTAGAACTTCAGGCTGGTTGGTGTTGAAGCACAATAACTACAATGGCTTCTGGTGCTTTGACGAAACCTCGGATGATTGGCCTTCTGGCCAGGCATCTGTGATTTCATGTTGTTGGAGCATTTGCTGTATCCCTGGGGGTTACAGTTTTCTATAAGTTTGCTGTGGCTGAACCAAGAAAGAAAGCATATGCAGATTTCTACAGAGATTATGATTCCATGAAAGATTTTGAGAAGATGAGGAAGGCTGGTATCTTTCAGAGTGCAAAGTGATTTTCAAATGCAAAGAATTTCTTTGGATTTAGTTTCATAGAAGTTTGTCACTGACCCGTGTTCCTGAACTAAGAAAATGAATATGTGGGCTAAGAGATAGTTTCTCTAAATAAATAAACAATTAAAAAATACCAAAAAAAAAAAAAGAACTTCAGGCTGATGTAATATGAAATTGACAAATCTACCAAATTAGGAAATGCACCATCTTAGAAGAAGCAATCACTTTTTCAATTCGTCAACCTGGAGGAACCCTCAGACATCTGTAGTGAGGGTGGTAAGCTCAGAGGCAGCCACTGTAATATTCTTTAAGTCACAGAAAAAGTGTCAAAGGCCCATGGGTCTTCGTTTACAGACTGCTCCAAGGAGGATGTCAAAGAGCAGACTATTCATCTTTCCTAACATGCGAACATGTAAATTTTCACTATTGCAGGATAAATGTATCACAATAAAACATTCACTGAAGAATTTTTTTGTAAATATCATAACTATGAATAAATACATTTGTACAGGACTTGTGCTCCTCTTGCCACAAAACTGACAAAACAGTGGCTCGTCACTGACACATGAGGAAGGGTGGAGGACGTGACAGGAAAGGGGATGGTTTACACCTTAGAGCCTCAACTCCATGTTTGTTTGGACTTTTACTATAAAACAAATTTATACATAATGTGATGTTTAAAATTTTTTAAAAGATACAATGTATAATAATAATTAACAGAATGAGAATATGGCTCCATCTTCTGTAATGTCAAAGGTGTTCTGCCCCTATCTCTGAGCTCAATTATAACCATTTTCACCTAACACCTGGTGCATAACAATCCCTGCAGTCTCCATGGGATGGATGTGCTGAGAGTGGTTTAATGAATCTCCTCCTGTTAGAACTTCAGGCTGGTTGGTGTTGAAGCACAATAACTACAATGGCTTCTGGTGCTTTGACGAAACCTCGGATGATTGGCCTTCTGGCCAGGCATCTGTGATTTCATGTTGTTGGAGCATTTGCTGTATCCCTGGGGGTTACAGTTTTCTATAAGTTTGCTGTGGCTGAACCAAGAAAGAAAGCATATGCAGATTTCTACAGAGATTATGATTCCATGAAAGATTTTGAGAAGATGAGGAAGGCTGGTATCTTTCAGAGTGCAAAGTGATTTTCAAATGCAAAGAATTTCTTTGGATTTAGTTTCATAGAAGTTTGTCACTGACCCGTGTTCCTGAACTAAGAAAATGAATATGTGGGCTAAGAGATAGTTTCTCTAAATAAATAAACAATTAAAAAATACCAAAAAAAAAAAAAGAACTTCAGGCTGATGTAATATGATAAAATTGTTTATATAATACAACATCCTCTATCACTGATGACTGTGTCTGAACCTTCCTTTCAAATCCAAGTCATTAAGAGTTTATTTTAGAGTTCCAGTCAAGATAGTGGAATAGATAATCCCCAGCATCGCTCTCTCCCACAAATCAACCAATTTACAACTAAAAAAATGTTAACCACAGCCAAGCTGGGGCCGCTAGAGCTCAGGGGAAGAGGAGGAGAGACCTACAGAGTTCATGAAGGTGGGAGAAGCTATGATGAGAGAAAGAAAAAATTGCTTCAAGTGTTTGGGGCTGCAGCCACTTTAAGGCTGGAGCTGCTGAGCGCATGGAGCAGGAGCTGGTAGAAGACACAGCTGTGCCCTTCAAATGGAGTTGCTTGGAGGCAGCTGGGGAGAACAGGGCCTTGGTGGCCCCCAGGACAGCAAGACTACTAATAGGGCTCCCGTGGACCCACGCAGGAGCAAGGAGCCAGAACAACTGAAAAAAAGGAGCCATTCAGAGGCCAGTGAGTCATCGCAAGGGATTGGTGCAGGGCCTGTCCCATGGGAAGTGTTTGGAGCATGGTTGGTTGAGGAGACAGGCCCACCAGGAGAACACTGGGACCCAGCAAGGTCAGCCGATCCAACACCCAATCAGCACAGACCCACTCAGAGGTGACTGATCAGGAATATAGAATTGCATGGGGTGCAGTTTGATGAAAAGACTCAGGCACAGATCAGAGTTTCTACACAACCCAAGTGCACTGGTCTCTGGAGAGCTGGAAGTACCTATAAGGTCAACCATTAAACCCTGAGCTGAACAAAAAGCCTTCTTTAAGGAAACAACAGCAAAGCAGCAATTTAGCTCAACCACACACCTCAAGTACTGGTTCCCACAGGAAGTTCCCCCATTTTAGAAGTAAGCAAAGGACAAAAAATTAGTTCTCGCCCAGATGCACCACCAGCACCTCAGGGCCCACCAAGGGACCTGAGGCTGGAGCTGGAGACAGACTCCTGCCCACAACCAGGCACACTGTCAGCGCCAAGGAGCATGCCAAAAACATCACCTCCATGTGAGTGGCCCACAACAGCCATCACAGTAACCACGGCTGTTGTGAATATGACTAGACATCACAACCACCACTCAGATGGTCCACCAGCCACTGGAGTGCACTGACACAAGGAGAGTCACCAGCAGAGATAAAGAAGAGGATGTCTCTCTCCACAAAGCCCATTTCAGAGTGACAGAAGAAGCATCTGCTCTATGATAATATTGGGGGACCTGAACACACCTCTCAGCATTGGATGGATCATCTAGACAACAAATCAACACAGTAAATATTATTCTTTCAGAGGGAGAGAAGAAATCTAGGGTTATCAGTGGTGGGAAGGGGGAGGGAGGGAGGAACAGGGAGAGATTGGACAAGGGGCATAAAAAGTACAATTTGTAACAATATATAGACTAGTAATATTGATTTGATCAACATATGTCAACGCTGAATCCCCAAAATATGTATAATCAACGGTGATTCAATTTAAAAAAAAAAAAGAGTTTATGTTAGAGACACACTGATTCTCTAGCTTAGTTTCCAATGTATTACAAAATCAGACACAAAACATTTCTTCTTATTGATTTCCTTTCCCAGAATTTATCAGGTAGTTGTGCACATTAATATGTGACCTCCATGTGTAGCTTCTCTAACCCTGGTCTACAGAGAGCTGACGGTGCATCCAGATGTGGCCCTAAAGACTCCCCGCTGCCCAACAGCACTGACACCACAGGGCACATAGCTATCACAGATCTATGCCCTGGAAGTGAATTTCCTCCCAGGACCATGCCCAATGGAGCCTACTCATAAGTTCATGTCACTGGGTCACAGTGCAATGGAATTTAAGAGGAGATGAGAGGGACTGAGGGAAGGCATGGGTGAGTGTGAGCAAACATGTCAGGCAGGAAACTTCAGAGTCAGAGAAGATCAGCAACTCCAATGCCATGTCGGAAAGCATGGACACAAAACAATCCACTGAGAATATCACTTTACCTGAGTAAGAGGCATTCCTGACTCCTTTTCTTTCCTCTTCTGCCTCTTCCAGTCTTTGTCCTCACATGACATGAGTCTTTAAAAGTCAATCCTGAAAGTTGAAAATATGCTATTTAACTATTAGAATCAATAAACCCACTTCCTGTGCCCCAACCACATGCACAGGGAGACCTCACTATGTTGAAGATGGTCCTCTGCTGCCTGCTGCACTGGGGAGAATGCTTGGACAATAAACTCCTACACGAAGACCAACAAGTGAGTTTTTGACCCCTTTCTTCAGAACTCACTCCCCTCTTGGTGAAGTCCACATATATCTTGCAGCAGTGGGGAGCTGGGCTGGACTGAGCTCCCCTACAAGGCACAGACCTGGCCTTGACCAAACCTAATGCAGAGCACAGCCCCCCTTATCTCTCTGTGAAGCACAAGTTGATCTTATTTTGATGATGAGAGATGAGATAGTCTGTGTTGAATGTTCATTGTTATAGTGAGTGTCAGAGTAGGAAAAACACTTTGGTTTTTCCTTCTCTCTCATACACTCCCCCATACCCTACCCCATCCCGGGAAAAAGGAACAGGGTGACCCACAACTAAATGAGTTAAGTCTCTGGGCTCAGGCTGAATAGGGATTGCAAACAGAAAGTAGCCTCTGACGCCAGGAATTACAACATGCACGTGCCTTATAAACAAGAGTTCAGCAATCCTCATTCTGATCTGTAGAACTTAAACAAATTTTATATGTTAGATTATAAAGACAGTAATCAAGATACCACAACTGAATCATCAATATCCAATTAACTCACCACTCATCTGGACCAAGGTTCCCCCTTCACTACTGTTTTCCTCCCTCATCCTGTATATCTCTCTCCTCCTCTCCTTCTCTCTCTACCTGGCTCTTTGGTTGGTTGGCTGTTTTCTATTTTCCCCCTGGGTTTCTGCTCCTTCTTTTACTCCCTTTTCTTCTCCTCCTCTGTCTCCCCTGATTCTCTCTATTCCTTCTCTTATATCTGTTCTGCCCCATTCTTGTAATTTATATGACCTCTTTTACTTCCTTCTCCCCATTCTTTTAACTGTCCCCAATCTCCATATATTCCTGTCTCTTTCTTACCCCATCTTTGCTCCCTCTCTGTTCTCCTTGTTAATTTCCCTCTTCCCCATTACACTCCTTTGTCCCCACTCTCTGGCACCCCAGGTCCCTAGGCTTTCTCCATGCTGTGGTTCTCTCTCTGCTCCCCTTATAACCGGCCGCCCCCTCATGATGTCCCAACACCACGTCGTCTGTCTGCCATGGCTCCAAATCATTTATCCTCTCCTCCCACTCTCTGTCTGAAGGGCCTCCTCCTCTTTTGCTGCCCCTCTCCCTATTTTGCTGTTTTTTTATCTCTCCGGGAGATCGAGATTTTCTCTAAATTTCTCTACCTGCTTTTCTCTCCCTGCTACTTTCTTGACTGTTTCTTTCACTCTTACTATCTCTTTGCAAATCCCTCAGCCATCCTCTGCTTTGACACCTTTTCACGGTTTTCTCCCATTCTTCCTTTTTCCCTCCCGATTGTTCTAGTTGCTCCCTGTCTCTCTTTCTCCTGATCCCCCTTTTCCACACATTTAAAGGGAGGCAGATGGAATACGATGCCCGCCTCGCTGAAGAGCATATTTTCCAGTGGGGTGGAATTCGGGACTGAAGAACACTGGATGTCACATGACAGGGACAAGTCACCTCCCCCCACAAGATGGGGTCGGGGAAGCGGTGGCTGCGAAGAGCAGGCCTGGGGGACAGAACGGAGGACAAGGACGGGGACGAATTAGGACAAAAGTGGGGTCTGCAGAACCCCAGGACCAGGGAGAGGACGCACCTCGCCTGAACTGAGGCGACCGGCGCTGCCCTCCAGGGGCCGAGAACAGCGAGGCTTGCAGGACCAGAGAGACGTGAGTCCACGCTACAGATGAGGACCTCACATCGCGAGGGGCACGCAGAAAGGCCAGTAAAGGGTAATAAGCAGAAAAGCGGAGCGGAAGGACATGGCCCGAAAGCAAAAATACCGGGCACAAAACCAGCCTCAGATGATTATAAACCAAAGGGAAGGGACCCCGGGACTCTCACGGAGACGTCTGAGTTTATTTGGGGTGGAGGAAGCGGTGCCGGGATTTTAAGAAGGCGCAGAGGGACTGCGAAGCGCAGGTTAAATCGAGGTGGAGGGACACTCACCAGCAGCGCTGGGACCGTCACCGCGCCATCAGCTTCCG